AATTCAATTCTCTGCCCTTTAAAGGTACTATGTCCCATTTGCAGGCCCAAAAACTGAAAAAGTTAAATTCCAACTGCATTTGAAAGATAATACTAATTTAGAACTTCCCTAAAAAAGGTGGGGCTTGAAAATATCTTGAAGTGGGAAAATAACGACTATTAGTTGTCAAATCGACTTTAGGGCTATAGAGCCCAAAAGTAATAGTCTTGATTTTCAGACCATTGAACCGAATGGTCATACGTTTTATGCTGCGCAAAGATTCAGTCAGTTCATATTTGGCCATCACAAGAAGTAGGTTATTGATGTAGACAAATGCTCATGTACCCTTTACATCTCATTTTATGTATGTTATTACCAAAGAAGAAACAAAAGCCAGTCAGTCACTCATTAGTGTCTGACAGTGAAGTCTAGCAAGTAAACAGGTTTCCTTGCATAATTTGAATATTAGGACTTTGCTAATGTTTAAATTTCACAGATAGGACATACATGACATATTCATAATTCCTTCAAAGTTCTACAGAATTTGAGGTTGGCTGCAAAAGGGACATAGTACCTTTAAGACAGACACCTCGATTCCAGGGTAGACTCCGCTTCAAATTAACCCAAAGGCAAAGGTTTTGACTACAAACCAACAAAATCATGCTTTCTACAAACTACACGGTATAATATAATTTGATAATGTTTAACTACTGGGGAATTCCTCATCAATCAACTTGTAAGGTTCTATACATTGAAAGAAAGGGGTCACAACATCTTGGTGGAATAAAGTAAAGATCATGCACTTCACATTTAAAATACAATTCAAACGATTGTTAAACCTACATGTACAGTGTATGAAGAATATTCAAGACAATAGGTTCATATATTCAGTTCTATAGCATCTACACAGAAGAATTTACAATAATATATGCTCAGAGCCAGAAGGGTGTTAGCTCTGTGTTCAAGTATAAGAGTTAATTCCCTTCCAGCTCCAAATAAACGCTTTTAAGAGCCTAAGCTCTGTGTAAAAGTGAAAGAGTAAAAGGTGCATCAATCCATAAATATCATAGATATATAATCTCCAGCTTTTGTTCATGAACAATGACAATGCTCTTCCAAGATAATAGGAAGAGAGCAGATGAGAGACAGAGAGAGCAAGATATAGAGAGGGAGGGAGAGGGGTACTATCGTGTGAGACACACACAGATAGGAAGAGAGAGAGAGAGAGAGAGAGAGAGAGGGGGGGGGGGGGGGGGGGGGAGAGGGAGAGGTGGCACAGAGAGAGAGAAAGAAAGAGAGAGATACAATGTATATATTTATATGGAGAGAGAGAGAGGAAGAGACCGACTGAGAGAAAGAGAGACAGAGACACATAGAGACACAGAAAGAAAGAGAGACAAGGGATAAAGTATCATTTGCTCTTATGTATTCCTGCAGTAGCAATACAAAATAAAGTTCTTATTTCTTCTTGTCTTAGTTCTTCAAATGCATTTCGCATGCATACCTTTGAATCAGGAAGACTGAAAACAAAATATTACTGCAGATAATGTATTTGTGTATTATCACATAACATTGAAAATGAAATAATTGTGTCTCAAATATTTTTATTTTTGGTTTGGTCTGTTCTTTCTATACAGAAATGAAATATGGGATTATGGACTACACAACTGAACATGATCATAAACAAATTTACTGATTATATGTTTACAGAGAATGTATAAATGTATCCTAAGATTTACATGCACCAATACTACTTGGCGGGGTGAAGTCAAATTATAGCACTGTTATGATAAAGCACAAACATTAACATTGGCAATGTCTACATGAAATATACATAGATGTTTTCATTTTTATTACTAACACAAATTGTGTTATGTAATACAACAATTTTTTATAATACACATAACCAAAGACATTAATATTTTCTATAATAATGCAGAGCAATATACAAAATGTATGTATAACAAATTCATTTAAAGATAAAGTTGAGTTCTGGTCATGCGATTGCATATTGTAAGAAGCGGTGTGGAATCGATCAGAAAAGGTTGATCATCTAGCATGAAGTATTGGTGTGTACTGCAAGGTTCTGGAATCATCCAAATGATAAAAAAATTGGCCCAGTCTTGGTTAAGTTACAAGCACTGTACACAGAAAGATATATATGGGACTACATGAACATGTGGCATAAAAATCTGTCCCAATTTTTATGCTGTTACAAGCCATATTTAGAATGTGAAGGCATTTGAAGAGCCATGCTTTTCAGGGAACATGTTTTATCTGATGTTCTTCCACACTTGCATAATAACAATGACAACGCTCACAAATTATTTTTCACCTCTTCCCAGAACTCAACCTTCTCTTTAAAATGGACTATATGCATTATGCAGCCTAATGATACACACATCTATAACCTTTGGTTTATCTTGAACATGATGTAAACTTCATGGATATCTGAGTAGTATGAGTAACCCTGTTCCCTATTCAGCTTTATGTCAATACAAAACAAGTCTTGCTGTAAAAAAAAAAAAAAGAGAAGGAATATTTTTAGCTATCAGGAACAAGCATTGATACTGGTATATCACAAGTCCAATGAAACAGATAAAGCAAATTAATAGCTTTTGATTAATTTTACATAATTTAAATATTTATCATTAATACTGGTGTATCACAAGTCCAATCAAAGAGATAAAGCAAATTAATAGTTTTCATTTACATAATTTAAAATATTTATCATTAATACTGGTGTATCTCATGTCCAATCAAAGAGATAAAGCAAATTATCAGTTTTTGATTACATAATTTAAAATATTTATCATTAATACTGGGGTATCTCATGTCCAATCAAAGAGATAAAGCAAATTATCAGTTTTTTATTACATAATTTAAAATATTTTTCATTAATACTGGTGTATCACAAGTCCAATCAAAGAGATAAAGCAATTCAACAGTTTTTTATTACATAATTTAAAATATTTATCATTAGTGTATCGAATTTCCAATCAAAGAGATAAAGCAAAGGAATTGTTTTTGCCTACATAATTTAAAATATTTATCATTAATACTGGTGTATCACAAGTCCAATCAAAGAGATAAAGCAAATTAATAGTTTTTGTTTACATAATTCAAAATATTTATCATTAATACCGGTGTATCACAAGTCCAATCAAAGAGATAAAGCTAATCAACAATTTTTGTTTACATAATTTATAATATTCATCAATTTGGTAACTTTTTATTTTAGTATCAAAGGCAAGAGATGAAATAAATAAGTTTTGATTGCAATTTCATTAATTTGTTCCTATATCAAATTGTTTTTACATCGCATTGTATATAAACCATGAACAAATTATACATGGGAACATGTACATGCACATTGGTCTATGCTGTTTGATGCCTGGTACAATTTGTACTTCATAAATGTTTGAAATTTTGAATCTAAAGAGTTCTATTTTAACAATTATGGTATGTCAGAAGACAATTTCCACATAATACAATCCCTCTGTATCAAGAACGTACATGTACTTCTATGAGAATCATTGGGCACACATGTTCGAGGAACATTATTTAAGTGTGATGAAAATATACTTGATTGTCACTGAAACACTGCATGCAGTTACATTTGAAAATAAACCATAAACAAAACTTTATAATACTGTCAGGTTGGATGAACAAATATTTGTCCATTTTAGGCTACATTTCCAGCATATCATAATAAATTTGAATGTGTGAAGGAACACATTGAATGTTCTGTCCTGTTGATGTTTATCAAAGTATGTAACTAAAATATGACACTCCAGTCACATGTTCCAAACAAATATTCAATTATAATGCCACGCATATAATGTCGCTGTGCCACTTTGTATTTATCCTACCTTATTGTTTCAAGTGAAATATTAATCTACTTCTACACTGGTGTTAAAAGGGTTGTCATGGAGACATGGAGCTAATAGAAACTGGAAATCGATAATTCAGCAAAAATGCACATGTAGCAATTCTGTCAAATGAGTGATTATGCAGAGGCAAAGAAATTCTGTAGTCATTCAAAAACTACCACCACTTTATATTGGCAGTGGCAATCCAATGAGGAGTCTTTAATACAGAAAGCAGGTAGGTAATCCAGATTAATGTTTAAGCAATTCAGCTCATATTTAATACAAATTGGCTGCTTAGTGATGACTGCCAGAGCATTACATCCTTTTTCCAAATGTAATAAATTATATGAGAAATAGTCAAGAAAAATAACTAAATGCTCATCAGCAAGTCTGCGGTATGTAAACATGCACACAGATTAAGATTGTGAATATTTGTAATTTTTCCTCTCCAGCACCAGATTCAAGTAATAAAGATATTAAATGGTTATTGCATGCATGTATCTTTTGATGTGTACATACATTTTACTTAAATACTCAATGTGTTTGTGAGCACCTATGTAATGTTTGGACACTACAAAATAAATAATATCCAAGAATTACATGCCTTCTCTCCCTCTCTCTCTCTTCTATTTTTGGTATTCTTTTGTTTGGTTTGTTTTGGTTTGTTAACCGTTTGTTCATGATTACATATCATCAGTATGAAGGGAATCAAATGGCTATTCATTGTTAATCTGTAAGACAATAGGATAGTGTCTAACAAAATACATTCAACCATAGCAGCACACCTGAAGCTCTTAGGCTCTTATCAAAACCTCTACATATTGTCATGAAGCTAAATCATATTGACACAAGCAATTAATGGTGTTTGAACTTCAACAAGTACAGGACTTTGTGATAAGCCCTACTCACAGCTTTGGTTTCTCTCTTTCATCTTAATACTAAACAATCAATTAGGAAAGCCCCATTTGTTCTTCTGATACTAAATAAATAAAGAAAATTGGTCATATGACACAAGTTTCATACAGCACACTTAACTGATAAGGAGAGGTGCCTTCCAACTTCAGGAAGATTTCCTATGCAATAAATTGTGTGTATCAGAAACACTTGAATTCCTCTGTGATTGCATTAGGTTAGAAACTCAAGTAGATAAACATACACCTTTAGTACAATAGCAAAATGTATATCGCTATATATAGTTACTTCAATGATGTATATGGCCAGCCCCAAAAGTTTATATGCATGTAAAAAGCACATCCGTACACTAAATAAAAGGATAGATCCTTCCATTTTCCCCAATCTCGGAGTAATCTTATTCTTATTGTAGTTACACAATTTCAGTATCATTCTATAGAAGTTAAACTGAAGTTTGAACCAAAATTGACTCGGCTTAAATATTGAAAACTGCATGGCTACGAATGGAGGGATTTTCATTACCTGGTACTTCTACTCAAAGAATGAATCCCTTTAAATACTGTGCTGAGAAAACTCAATAATCTTTTAAGGAAATGCACATTAAAGACCTATTTGTATCCATGACAGGTGAGGTTCAATTTATAATCTGATTGTTATTTTAACTGCTAAATGTGTATCTCCATTATTTGTTTTCAGCTTTCTACCCATTCATAAATAATCCCTAACACCAGGATGTTTGTAATATTAGACGATCAGTATGGCACCAGGTTGTTGCAGCATTGATAAAAAGGGGTGGTTCGATCAGAAGGTCATTGTGCATATAACTGCAGGATGTCCAATGCAGAGGGATGTTAAACTAGCAGACAGACAGAATCCTATGCGGCAGGGTCCTCAGGAACATGCTCCTCTATCAAATCAGCATCGAGTTCTCTCACCCTCTCATCTCCTTCAGCTCCCTCCTCCTCCTCCTCCTCCTCCACCACTACTCCCTCTTCTTTAACATCTTTAATACCGTCTTCTAAAGCACCTTTATGATCTGATATCGCCATGCCCTCCTCTGCGCCTTGTTTCTCATCACCTGTCCTGACACCCTTGGTATCTAGGGGTACATTGTTCACCTCCTCTTTGGTCTTAGTTCTCTGGTTGTTCTCAGGTTTACGCACCACCAGAGAACTATTCACTTTATCCTCATTTGATCTGTTATTCATCCTCTCTTTGTACTGCATATAAGCCTTCTGGAAGACGGTCTCTTTCTGGACCTTGGGATTGTACTTGTGGTTCTCCCACGTCGGTGTGTGGAAGCGGATGTCATACATGGACGCCCATCGGCCAAAGGCCACCTTCTCCGTCATGAACTTGTGACCAGACGTCAGTCGCCTCTCGCTCTTCTCGTAGTACTTGCACTCCGTCTGAAGTTTATCAAAGTAGTGGTAGTAGGTTTGGTCGTTGGGATGCTCTCTGTCATAGAGGGAAAATAGACAAGTTTTATTTTCAATTTTATACAACTCACACCTAGATCCTAATCGAATGATTGGTCAAACGCAGTCATGTGTGATTCATTAACTGAGACTACATATATCCCATGTTTTTATAACGAAAAAACGTGCAATAGTTCCAGTACTATCCAACACTTTTTAAGCATGCATTGCACCGCATGGCATGTACACGTAGAGGTAAGTGCGCTTTAATATAACAAGGAGATTTTGCATAGCACCAAGTGTAAACGAGTATAGAGGTACATGTGTAAGTGTGTTTATCTATGTGAGTGAACTAAAGTAAGCCTTTTAAACTTGGAATTTTTTGTCCAAAACAATCTTTACATTAATTTTGTTAACATCTAATTAAAAGGATCTAGTAGTTTTGTTACATAACAAATTATGTATGATTTGATTTGGTTTTGTCGATTATCCACTTTTTAAGATGCATCTTGTCTCTTGTTGATGCATACTGTAGCCGAAACTAGAGTTTGGGTAGATCTTATAATGAAAATAAATGAACTCATTTGCATGCATCATCTATATATCAAAGGAAACCTAACCCCAAAGAATAAGTGAAGGAATTCTGAAAAGTGAGATGTATTCCTGCCCTTTGATGTATAATATAGAAGATAGAAATTATATTTGGTGAAAAATAAATAACAGGGAAACAATTGTAACAAAATTCATGTATTTACTACACTATAGCAGTTGACAAATCTATTTCATTTATGAGAAATCTTCACCCTAAAAGAGCACCAACTTATTTGTGCAATTTGCGTTCTGGCAATTGTAGTACAAAGGATAATAGCAGGTGAATGAAATGCTTCATCACCACACACATCTGGGAAGGAAGCATCCATAAATTTGAATACATTAACTTGCTAAACGACTTCGCATAGTACGTCACTTTATCAAGAAAATGGCGATCGATGTTCATGTCGTGTTGAGAAACTGTAAATTATTCTTGCTTTATTCCTCTCTCATACACTTTGGTGGGAAATCTTGCAGATTAATGGGAAATAATATAATACATCTCTCAGAATAAGTAAAGTAATCTCTTGAGGTTCGGTTTCCTTTAATGTTATTGTAAAGACAGTATCAATAGCATCTATACGGGCAGATGAAATTAGACGCTTTACAGCGGTGGAATGATGTCTAGTGTACATGAGCTAGGTAAGTTATGCTTTATTTCCTGAAAAGTAACTGCTATGGAAATAAAAGTCAAAACAAAGATTCATTGTATGGACTAAAATGAGTCCATCTATTACTGGTAGGTAATCTATGCGAAAGTGGAACAGGATCCCCCAACCCCCATCAATCTCAGAACACATTTCTAAGGGTATTTGATACAAAAAATGTAATAATAGTAGTCAAAGGGTTTAATGAAACATTCAGTCTTAAAACATTTTGAAACAGAAATGGGATTTGTGCCAGATATCATATTACATCTTAATTTATCAAGGGCTCCTTGCCACATACAAAAACTATGTACAGTACATGTACTAGATGTATACAGACATTCCCAACCCATATCAACTTCAGATCGATAGCCTTGGATATTAATAACCTAGCTACATGAATGAATGTTGATCTTCAGTATTCAACTTTCAAACCATCATCATTGTAGTCACATACTACATGTACATGATGGGAGTATGCAGCCATGCCAGGCTATTGGAACATGAAGGAATGCATGAATACAGGTCTGTACACATGTATAGCTCAAAGGGAATCATCTTGAAGGTACTATAATTGAAAAAATCATTCTTCGTCCAAAGAATCATTCAAACCAATAGTAGAAAGCAAAATTATAGATTTTTGATTGGCAAGAATGGTTACCTACATTGTACATGTACATGTATACCGGTAATGAGTTCATGGCTATAAAATTAAAGCTGCCAATGAAGAATTTGACATTTTATTGCTTTACTTGCTTAAATATTGACCATGTCATAAAACTGCAGAACTCTTTTTTTTCTTCTCCATGTTAAATATAATGATGTAAATTCATGAAGAGCACGTCAATATATTGAACAGAACCTTAACGGTAGTTTTTACCCCATCCCCATCCACTAATTTGCCTAGAACTTTAATACAACTGTACAAGTTAAAGGTTTTCCATTTTTCAGAAGATTTTAAGGGTGTTAACCATGTCTGAGCTCATGTCGAAGCTTACAATTTACTCCTTTTGCTTGCCTAACCATTATCTTCACCATAAATGTAGGCGGGGCCTATTGACCTACATGTCGTATAAAGGCATAGCTGATATCACCAACAGCTGAACCTTTATACTCTAGTGTCATGTCATTACAGTTGTAATTGTCCTAAACTTTAATTACGTTTGCGCCCAACAGATCACCTTCCTGCTTCTACAGCCTCCATCTGAATGTATTTACAATACACTATGCACACTTCAAGTGACATGCAATTAGCTAGATATCGATCAACGCAATTATCAGCCTCCATCTCAATGACCACTTAACGGAACACAACCGCATGATTTTCTTGATATAAAGTCTTGTTGAGTTCTACATGTTTACATATAAAATCAAAAAGGCACGTCAAATTAAACCACTGCCTGCGAGAACCAAACGGCTCCTTTGAAAGTGACTTGGAAACATTGTTGAAGGTTGATGAAAAAAATGGGTAATTTTTGTATGAAATGGTACTTAATATATTCTTTCTACTGTACTAGCCCTCTAACTAACAAGTAAAAAAACCTGAACAAATTATCAAACCTTCAAGATATTTATGGTTTTCTTTGAAGGCATCACTGTGCAACACCCTAAACAGTAAATTCTCCAAACCATTTTCAAATTTTCCCAAACGTTTTTCCATGAAAATAAGATATGGGCAGGCTTTTAAGAATCTTTCAACACTTTTAATGTCTGGAATGGTTTATAAAGGCAATTCTTTGCTTTGTGACGATTTCGTTCACCTAACATGTAATTAAATAGTGATAATATAGTTGGGAGAATTAAGGAATTGATCAGATCACTTTTTCCCAATTGTTAATAATGGTCTGTTTTCACTAAAACTTTCAGATTATCTTTAATTGTACATCTAGTATTGAACTCACTATCTTAGCACCATTTTCTCTCATCTGAACAATGTTACCAACTCCCTTCAACGAAACATGTGCGCATGATTTTCTTGAGAAAAAGTCTTTTTGTGTTCTACATGTTTACATCAAATTAAACCACTGCCTGCGAGAACCAAATGGCTCCTTTTAAGGGTGTACAATTTATGATTTAGCCTTTATGTAATAGGATCATTCAGAAGTCTAAGGGTTAAGGAATTATACTGTCTAACTGCATAACATAACTGATAGCTCATCTGATATGATGCCTGACAATTCAACAGGACATGTATCTGATCTATTACACACACACCTCATCATTGCTAAAAGGTTAGATCATAGAAAGCTCTTCTCATACATGTATGCCTCTTACATGTACCATTGAAATGAGGGAACAGGCAAACACGACACCCTCTTTCAGTAACAAGGAAGGCTCAACATTTCTCCAGATATGTCTACACTAGCATTGATTTGAATTTTGAATCATAAAATGATACACTACAGTACTGTACATGTTCTCCACTGCTCGCAAGAAGGCAGTTAATTATGCCAATGACACTGTATATTTTGTAGCTCTTGACCCCTTCATGCAGACAGCCAGTGATATATTGCGTATGCTGTGTTAAGTGAAATGCTCAAAATGGCCGATCAGTACATTTTCCCTGACAATCGGGCTATTTTTCAAGATGGCCACCAACCTTTTTTCTTTTCTTTTTTTTAATCAGAAAAAGATCTATTTTAGGAATGTTTTCCATGTTTTTTTTCTTTAAAAATACTAAATAAATACAAATTAAAAAAAATAGGAGGCGGCCCCCCAAAAGGAAGCGGGCTGGGACGCTAAACATGTTTATTTTTTTAATGGCCTTTCATGAATTGAGAATAATTGAGATGTGCTCAATTATACTACATGTATTGTATAATTTGAGTATGTCTGTATTTTTTGTAAATGTGGAACAATAAAAACTTGGAACTTGTATTGCCCTTCTGGCTCTCAGGTGACAATTTGCTCATTTCTGCAAGAGCAAGAATCGCTGAATATAATATACATGTATCACACAAAGTCACAAACACTGTTTCACTGTCTAACCAGAAGGCTATTATGTACCAAGACAATTAACCTTTAATATTCAAAGTTCTCTAGACACTGATCATAGACGAAGCCCAACTACAAGACAGACAATCATATCGTCTGTTTGGAGCCAGAAGGGCGTTCACTCGTCTACTTCTACACAACCTTTAATGCCCTTCTTGCTCCAAACAGACGATCTAATACATTTGTAGATTGGATTAGCCAAGATACTGTCAGAACTGTCGGTAAGGATACGCCTGCACTCTCTTCTCAACCTTATTCTATCCATCTTTAAGCAGATGGACGTGACTGGCATGGATTGATGTAGGTTGGCAACCAAGCTGGATAATTTGTCATCTCACATACATGTATGATGTGAATGCAAGGCAATTCAGACTGAATTCATTGTTATTAACATTGTAGCCGGGGTTCCACACTCCCAGGCACCCGGGATACTAGGGCCTAATATTCCACACCAGGACCCCGTAATTTTGACATTTTAAAAAGGGCCGCTGTCAGGCTCACAGGTCCTAGAAATTCTGTCCAAAGAGTTGTTATCAATCGCAACGTTGTACATACAGTGTAAGGGATATTAAAGAGACTGAAAACTTGTGATTGATTGGAGGACTTGCGATTCAGTGATTTGGATCAATCAAATCTCTGCATCTTAGTTGTTTTTCTTTTTTAATGAAAATGGAAGCTCCTATATAGTCCAGTCAAGACTATAGCCCCCTCCCTCTCTCCTTCTCTTTCTCTCTCTCACTCTCTCATCCCTCTCTCTCCCTATCACACACTCACATCCCCTTGTACCTTCCAAACTGAGGTACATGCAAGTTGTTTCAATTTCTGGGGGAAAAACAACCTACATGTAAGCTTCCACCACTGTAGACAGGCTAAGGCATACATGAACAGTAAAGGGCATGTCAACATGCATCCCGAGTACCTTTTTTATTTCCCCACACTTGTTTGCTATCCCTATATCCACACATACGGGTGTATGAAGGATGATTACAGAATCCTATAAAATGCACCTTGTCTGATTGGATGAACGTACACATGCATGAGAAGGATTTGTATCTGCGCGGAAGATTGGGCAAATGCAAGACACATGTAAATGTATACTTCAGTACATTAGAGTTCTGAGAATATAAGACAGCTGATGTATCATTCCCATAGCATGCACTAAACAGGGTTGACAGTTTAGGTGACACGAACTGATCATTTTAGGTGCACTTTCTGGCACACTAACTGACTGATTTTGTGTGTGTCTCACTCTCAGACTTTCGTTTTGGTGGCTCAGAACAGGTATATTTAATGTTCTGTTAGTCATTCATATAATATTTGTAATGTTAACAAATGTTATACTTTTGTTGAATTAATGCGATCAGATCAATTCAATCCCAACTAAAAAACGCAGGGCCAGTATTAAACTCTAGAATACCACATCATATAAAGTGTAAAAAGAGAACATAACCTACTTGCAATAATCATCATAGATCATCCCATAGACGTCTACAGAGTCACAAACTTCCAGTGCAAACAGCATAGCTACCCATCCAGTAGACATCCACAAACGACCTTTACTTCTGTAATAAAAACGTCATATCAAATCATATTTAGTTGGAACGACGCAATTTACCTGCAAATGACACCGTAATGAAGAAAATTAATGAAGAGAATTTAATCTTTTTCCTGCTTTATATGAAGCCGCTATGAGGAGCACCAAGGCAGTATATTGACAACTTTATACATGTCCAATTTGCTATCGGAACATCCATATCTCATAAATTTTTGATAAAATACAACATAGCACAAATTCAAACAAAAATTGATTAAGAAATTTTCATTTGCAGGTTTATGTAGCCAAAAAAACGGTTGTTATAATGTAATGTATACTTTGTAGTGAGAGAATAATGTGGATAGCAATGAAGGGAAATTTTATAAGCAGTCCTACATACACATGTATAAATTTCATTTGTGTTTAAATATGAGCCATAAAATAACAGCAAAATTCTTGGACATGATTATAATGCACATTTACATGAATATTTCACACCACATACTTCAATAGTGTTTATTAAAACAACAAGAAAACATCCTGGAATTCAAACAGAGATAGAGAGAGAGAAAAAAAAACTGGACCGATAATATTATGTTAAATGCAAGAGCTACTGTACATAAATGGAATGTTTAATTCATTCAATACTTCATTTCAGAAAAAAAGGGCCTTAGTTTATATTATGAGGATCAAGCATTCAATACATGTAGGAAGGGATAAAGTCAGAGGCAGCTGTACAATATGTGTACTCTTTGAATAAGTGCTATTAATTTTCTTGCATCTTTAAAATGATCGAATACATGTTTTAGACAATAATATTTTTGATCCAGTTAAGCTTTTCTCAAACTAGAATTTATAAAATCAAGAGTAATAAATGATGGATTTTGGCTGATTTCAAAATTGACAAAAACGGCTACAAAACACCCTATTACAAGCTGTGTTATATTCAACAAGCTTAACCCAACATGTAAATGTGTTACAAGAAATGAATAAATGAATAAAATAATACAAGTACTTGTATTACACATTAAACTGTGTTGGTGATACTAATCCAAAATCAGATTTATGAAACATTTACATCTCAATATGCACATGTACAAAGTCAGAGTAAATGAAGCATTAATGACGGAACAATGACAATCCATATGGTCTTCTCATCATCTTTGAAAAGCTTAAAATAGCTCTCACCAGACACCCTACATGTAACTTGTCTAAAGTCGATGGGATTAAAGATGCTCTCTGCCGATACGAGTAGGAGGCTAGTCGCTACATCATCAATCAATCTACATTATACTTCAATATATTTAGTTTTGGTCATAATATTGCATTGGGAAATAAATGCTTCATAGCTGCAGGGGGGTAAGAGCACATTTTTTTTTTGTCCAAAAATTTGAAAATTTGACTGATCAATATTTTGTATCGTTGGGAGGGAGTGGGGGGAGGGGGGGGGGGGTTAGGTCACTTTTTGGGGGTCACCCATTAGGCCATTAAAAAATATATACATGTTTAGCGTCTCCGCCCGCTTCCTTTTCGGGGGCCGCCTCCTATTTTTTTAATTTTTTTTTTTTAAAGAAAAAAACATGATAAACAATGCTAAAATGGATCTATTTCTGATTTACAAAAAACAAATGTCGGCGGCCATCTTGAAAATTAGCCTGACTGTCAGGGAAAATGTACCGAGCGGCCATTTTGAAAGAAAAAAAGAAAAAAAAGTGCCTCCTCCTTCCTATTTTTCAAAAAATCAGGACGCTTAACATGTTTTGTTTTTAAAAAAAAAAATTTCCCTTCCAACTGGCAGTCTAAAAAACTTGCACGTTGATCACACTACGGTATACATCTTACTATTCAAAATGAGCATAAATACATCAGAAACAAAGTAAAATGTAAATATTTCCACACAAAAAATTCCACTTGTAATTTCTCTCAAACTGTATTCAAATTGAAGTTTGGTCACAACTCACAAAGTGTGTGATGTCCTTAAAACTTGACTTACTTTGATGTTCCCAATTCTTGATAAAACAGCTCCACATTCCTGTTCATGATCTCTTGTTTAGTGAGAAAAAACGAGACATCCTTGTACTTCTGAGCAAACTTCCTCGACAAAATCAGCTCCAAATTCCTGTTCACATTCACACTGTACAGCCAAAGTACTACGATTGCCTCCGACTTTGTCGTTGTGTTCACAAAATAGAGTCTTCTCTCAGCTTCTGTGTCAAACATACGTGGAAAGTTTCTGTGTCCAATGACACGGAATGTAGTCCTACTTCCTACATCTTTTGTGTAATTTAGCGTTGGTGCTGCATTCATTCGTATAATGCACTCTGAACTGTCTATTGTTTTGCCCATCCCTTTACCACTAAGATGCCCTGAGCTGGTGACGAGGGCACACTGCTTGCAATGACGAAGGGGCTTCTGTGAGGAAAACAATTAAAAAGGACACAATTAAGGCAATATGATTCATCATTATTTAATGCATTGCCACCATCATTATCATTATCATCATCCTCATCCTTATCCTCATCTTTGTCCTAATCATCATCATCTTCATCGTTATCAATATGTCATGCCATGTAAGGGAATGTAAGGTGATGAAAACTATCATGAAAGGTCGTATGAGAGATTAAAAATATGAAAATTAATGCTGTAACATCACGGATATCTCCAATTCCATTAAACCGCCAGTCAAAACCGGACGGTTTTCGGTTAAACGATTAAAAAAAAAATTAACAAAAAAACCCAAAAAAAACCAAAAAAAACCAAAAAAAAAAAAAAAAAAAAAAAAAAAAAAAAAAAAAATTTTGCCGATCGGCAGCAAGCCAGGTCCGTGTGAAAAAGCGGGAATGCGCCGATTTGTGCTTGTGAACTTGTCACACATAATAGTAAAAATGTCGTTTTCAGAAGAATGTGTAAGATCATTAATGTAAATTAAAAACAGTAGAGGACCTAGGATAGAACCTTGTGGTACGCCTTGTGTAAAAATTGGATGAATTATTATTATAAACTACATATTGAGATCTATTACAAAGATACTTTCAAACCAAGATGACAGACAAATTGGAGTGTTGTTTTAGTTTCCGAGTGGTGAGTCAACACACAGATTACTGAGCTGGGAGACATCGCCAGGCATAGTGCTAGGTGGAGGGGCATAACTCGAAACTTAAAAAAAAAAAATTATTAAAAAAAAAAAAAAAAAAAAAAAAAAAAAAAATTATTAAAAAAAAAGATTAAAAAAAAGATCAAAAATAAAAAAAAAAATGGGAAAACAAAACCGTCCAATTGAAAACGGAATCCGCCATGGGCGGTCGGATACCGAACGGTTTAACGCTTGACTACAGCAATAATGAAAATTATGGGAAAATTTTCCCTTAGAACCTGAATAAGTTTATGAATAGTGTACAGTTACATATAAAAAATAATACAAAAAATGAACATCGACCAGCATATTTCTTATTTTTCCACTACAGGCCTACTACATGCACATGCACATGTATCCTGCATTGTACATTAAAAGTAAACTGCATGTACAAGTCATGTGCATGTATCTGAAATCTAATCAAGTGAAGTGCTGTATAAAATTGAGACCATTAGTGGGATGTTATGCTGCGCAAGAAGGCATCATCTTTCTGAAGCACGTCAGTCCTTACCAAACACCTTCATGGATATACATGAAAATAAACTTAAACTAATGAAACAACCACTATCCTGAGTATCTTCCATAAGCTCTGTACCTCATGCATGTGCGCAAGTCACGTACCGGAGTCACTTTCGATGAATACATGGATTAAATTACAATCATTGCTTATTACTCTGCAGTATATACTGCCTCTAGCAATGTCTGTTATCAATCCAGGCTTCTGGCATGGATCTTTGAGTAGAAAGTGAGCTTACTGGCTAAAAGCACTTAGAAATGTCATTTACACATACATGTAATACATGTAATACATCAAAAGGAGGAAGATGAGAAGGAAATGCAAAGCTAACTATAGAAGTATAGGGGCATTTTACACTGCAAGTAAAAACCATTGGTTTTTATCACATTCTGGAGTTTTGTCGAAAGTTGGTAGGCAACTGCACATAAGCATGACGAAAATACCATCTATTGAGTGTGTGTTTTTAAATCGAAAATCCATTGGTTTTTGCAGTGTAAAAGCTCACTCTCCAGGGCGCGACAAACCCGCTTGCCCGACGTCCCGGGGCAACCAAATTGAGCCGTCGGGCAAGTAAATCAAATTATCACTTGCCCGATTCGGGCAAGTGATACTTTTACAGTAATTTCCTAGTGTCCAAGAACTCTACCATTCACCCGTCAACTTCTTACCCGTCGTCAAAATCCAGAAGCAAAAAAGCGATCGTTCCGATTTCGAAAAAACTTCACAGACAGCTAGCCAGCTCAGCTAGCTCAGCGCGCATGCAACAGTGACACTTCAAGCCATGAATGCCGCTCCGCCTCCACGCACGGCCGGCCGTGAGCTAGCTAGAGACAGCTAGCGCGATCGTACCAGCTGCGAGCTTATTCGCGCTCTCTCTCTCTAGCTCTGCAGGCCGCACCGACAGGCCTTTGCTATTCTCTGATTGCCGATTGGTTGAATCACGCCAAATATGACGTCATTATTCTAGGGAAATGAACACGTGCGAATCGGAATGGAATAAACAACAGGGATTTTCTAGTAAGTACAAAAAGTCAAATGTTTGATATTTATTCATAATGACTGTTAATGATTGTGAACATATTATTTAAAACTCGCTGCTCATATAAATCAGATGAATGTGAATCTGATTATTTATGGAGAATCAATAAAATGCGTTTTTTAAACCTTCAACCATCCTTTGTTGACCATTTTCTTTGACATATTAGGTTATTATTCAGTACAGTTACACTGTACATGTATGTGCATTAATTTGCTATCTAAAACACTAACTTATCATTACGAGATAATAAATGCTTTAACCTCGAGTCCTTTTTCGCTTTAAAGTTTTGGGCAAGTGGAAATATTGTTTGGGCAAGTAAATTGAAAACCCACTTGCCCGACAGGGCAAGTGGTGAAAAAAATTCTTGTAGCACCCTGCTCTCAAAACACTGGTGAATTATTCAGGTTTTCTGTTCCACATCTCTCTTCACTTGATTCACAGCATTTGTATGGCGCCATATATCTGTTTAAAAAAACATTCAAAGGCGAGAGCTCCTCCAATAAAATTAGCATTTAAAGGGACCGTTTAACAATGTTAAATCTGAGATACACGACCCTACGTGTTATCACTGTCTGTGATATGGTGTAATATTGAAGCCCTAAAAAAAAGTGCACTTCAAAATGATCAAGAAGTGCCTCAAAAAAGTAAAAATCTTTGAGCGACCAGTTTTACCATACCGTATTTGCCGGCGATAAGGCCGCAGCGCCACATAGGCCGCACCCCCGATTTTGACATTAAAAAAAAAAAAAATTGTCGAAGACGGGATTTGATCTCTTGCGTACAAATGTTGATGTGACTAAAATCACCGCCTTAGACCGCTTGGCCATCCCGCACTGATGCTATCATCTGCATTTTTTTTGTATACATGTATGTATACATTGCGCCTCTCTCTTGCGTATTGCGCCATAGCTCTTGTGTATATTGAAATGGATTAAAAATGGCGACTTCGCGTGCTGGATGCTTCACGGCAGTTCCGTTAAACAGGCCCTTCTTTTACTTTTGCAATGCACTGGCACAAACTTAGATCAAGATCTATCTGCAGATGTTGTTTTTGTAACTTTATTTTCATCTTCATGTCAACAATGCAAGATGAAATTGTCGGTAAGATGTGTGGAAATGTCCTGTACCATTTATTGTACCGCGGTTTGTAGGAAGGAAATGAAGAAGAGATGGACAAGGGAAGTAGGACAGGTAAGGCCAAATAAAAAAAAAAACATGTTTAGCGTCCTGTTTTTTTGAAAAATAGGAAGGAGGAGGCCCTTTTTTTCCTTTTTTTTTCTTTCAAAATGGCCGCTCAAAATGGCGGCTCAGTACATTTTCCCTGACAGTCGGGGCTATTTTTTTTCAAGATGGCCGCCGACAATTTAAAAAAAAAAAAAATCAGAAATAGAGCCATTTTAGCAGTGTTTTTCATGTATTTTTTCTTTCAAAAAAAAAAATAGGAGGCGGCCCCCAAAAAGGAAGCGGGCGGGGACGCTAAACATGTATGTTTTTTTTTAATGGCCTAAGAATAGGGGAAGGAAAGAGAGAATACAACAGACCCAGTCTTTACCTTATCACCAGATACAGGCATGTATCCATGGCCATTCCAATTCTTAGGTTCCAGTCGTTTCACCTTCTCCTCTATTAGAGGAGTCTTGGTAGTGGCATTGACACTCACTGCTGCTGTTATCCTGGGAAGGGGCGGGGCTGGTTCCCGATAATCCCCGCCCCTCTGCGTGCACCCATGGCTATCAGTGCAACCAAACTCTCTGATGTTGGTCTTCCTCAGAGTGTCTAATGCTTGCTCTGGCCATGTGTAAAGAAGCAGCGCAGCTCCTATGAGGGTGCTGTAGAACAGCAGATGACTCAATGTCAGTGCTTGTCTCTACAAGATTCAAATAGAAAAACAAAAGCATTATCAAACATCAGCAAATACTTTGTGTAACAACGTTATGGGTGTGTGTTTTGTTTGATTTCTATATTTCAAGATTCAAGATTCCAGTTTCAAGATTCCAGTTTCAAGAGTCAAGATTTTTTATTTCCACTGACATGAAAAAAATACATTCATGAACAGCAAATTCATTGTCAACAAGAGTAAATTCATGAACAGTACCAAGAAAGTTGTAAAGACATTAGATCTTGAATACAGTTTAATTTACAGAGCACTTTCAAAACTATCCAATCGATATTGAAAGAGTTCATAGCTCAAGTGTTACAAAAATGGGCCTACATGTACGTGTACATGCACATTGTACATGTAATTCACCTACCTGTACATGTAAATTGTACAGTCTTTTGTCAGTGAATCAGCTCTAAGCTGACATCCAAAACAAAGCTTCATTTTAGTGCTCAAGCATATAGAACAATAACATCTAGCAAAATATTACAATATCTTACCAAATTATGGCACAACATGCTTCTAAAGACAAACATGATCCTGATCAAGAGTATTCAGAATAGATTCCAATTAGCTGGTACAGACATGGACTATACTACTAGAAGGCAACCAAACAGCCTGAAACAGCTGATACCTTATGTACATGTAGATATTGTATACAAAACTTTGACAAACAGTGTATAAACTTTTTACATGTGACCTAGTTCTTATTCCTGACAGGATGGACACAAGTCCAAAAGGAACACTAAATATAAAGTAATAAGGCTGACCGTGTTTACAATAATATAGGCCTACATGTATGAAACACCAAATGCATGTGCATGTACATGTACATGTAGCAGTATAATACAACTCTTCTAAACATTTCTTTTCTTCAAGATGATAAGTTTAGTTTCACTTTAAAGGGATCCGGTAACTATGTCTCAGATTCTGAAACAAAATCCTGGATTTGGCTCATGCTGCAATGATAATTATAAACCTTTAAGTCTGTCAAGAAGGAACACCATGACTTTTACAAGCCGATCGCCTGTCTGATTATCAAGGTGATTTATGACTGGAAATCAAAACCAAATTTTGCGTTTGCCAAACAGTTTTCATAATACTACAGTCTATTGGGGAAAACGAGAATGGTAAAACCGGTCACTCAAAGATTTTTACTTTTTTGAGGCACTTCTTGATCATTTTGAATCATGATTTTTTAGGGCTTCGATACTAAACCATATCACAGACACTGATAACACGTAAGGCCGCGCATCTCAGATTTAATGATTGTTAAACGATGCCTTTAAAGGGGCAAATATTTCAAAATATGTCCCCAAAAAGTGTTTGTCATGTTTCATACCTAATATTATTCTGTTGGCAAAATGATATTTCAGTAATAAAGAAGTAACAAAAAAAGTGGCCTACAGCACATGTATGAAGAGTTTTAAGTGCTTTGTACATTATTTTAAAGAAAAAGTGCTATGAAAATGTATTACTACTATTAGTACTGCAGGTACTGTATAGCCCTTTCCCCTCTTCTACTTCTAGTTCTACTACTCCCTCTCTTCAATTCTTTCTTTTCATTTTGTTATTGTTGACAATTTACAAAGAATTGTCCATACTGCATGCAGCTCACTGGATATCATTTACTAGTTTAATTGATCTTTGATAGTAATCATTGTTAACCTACTATGTGTACATTATTTTTAATAGTTAAAACCATCAATGATAGATGAAAATGATAAAATTGTGATTTTGAGTACAGATCTACACGACCTATGTTTAGGCCCCTGCATCATTAGCAATTTTCTTTTTATGCTTGGAAAGCAGAGTTGAGACCTTTTACATGTATTGAAACAAAGGAAATCACATGACTTTATAGACAGGATCTAGACAAGATAAGAATCATATAACAGTTCGCTTTTAACCCCAGGGACAATATTGCATTTCTCTGAAATGACTTGATGTCACTTATCGGCAAGGAAATATCAAATTGTATTCATATTGCAAATAACTGTATGTACAACTGTAACTCTATCAATAAAGGTAATACACAGTTTTGGTATGGGGTCATGAATTTGGTTCAAATGGACATATTGGAAGCATATGCGATCCTACAATATTCAGTGATCGTTGTCGCGTTAAATCAAGTCTAAAGTTATGAAATTGTCCACCATAAACACTTTATGTTGTATAGCTCCCTCTCAAGGTCAAAACATTAATTAAACTATAAAACAATGTGTGTTGACTAAAATCGACCGATTAGCTACATGTATTCCCGTTCGGAAATTATATACCACGACTACATATTCTGAGATTGTTATGGTCGCAGCTACCATTGTACGGCCGTAGGAGCTATTTGAAATTTATCAAAATTTACCAGGAGCACCGGTAAATTTTGATATTCAATTTTACATGAAAGCAGAAATGTTTTAGGGGAAAACATTTCTAGTGCTTTTAATACGTCCACAGGGGCATCCAAATATATCAAAATTGTAAAGAATCACCATCAACCCATTTGTCAAAATTTCCCAAAACTTTGTAATACCTTTAAGAGTGTAGTGTAGGCTTTGCTTATACATTGAATTGAATGTGCGTCACATTTCAGTATCTTATAACACAGAGCTCAGTGAATACATGTAGGACCTTATACAGTTATCATTCATATACAGGGTGACTTCTTTTTTTGCAGCCGTTTTAATACCGCATCATATCTGAACAAGCTTTAAGGTTTTGCAGCAGAAACGGGTCACTATGAACATGACTGACAAAGAAAGTGGACAAAATATACAGTTCCTCAGGTAGAGGAACATCCCTTCACTGCTATTATGTAAGAATGTGTCACATGCATATTCACCTGTTCTACACATTTTTTGCATAATAGCAGTGAAGGGATGTTCCTTTGTCTCCCTTAGGAACTGTATATTTTGTCCGCTCTCTTTGTCCGTCATATTCATAGTGGGTAGTCCTAGCACGTTGCAAAAGTCTATGTTAAACTTTAAGTTTAACTTATATTAACTCTTTGTTTGCTTTGTTCGCCGATTTGCACGGACGTAGGCGTGCCAACTTCGCATTTTTGCACAGATGTATACGAGTCAATTAGACATTCATAATACCGCTCGCAGTGTGTAGCCACGCGTTGCGTTTACTATTGTTTACATTGTATACATCGCACACTTTCCGGTAAACTGTTTTTCTTCATAGTGTTACATTCGAAATTACCGTGTATTTAGCGGTTTTCTTTGGATTTTTTTTACTGATGTTACGATGGCACCTGCTGGAAAACGTCAACGTGTGTTTAGTGTAGAGGAGGCTCGAGATCTTGTTACTATGGAAGCATGGAGCATGGACTCTGATTCCGACGAATCGAGCAGTGACGAAGACTCTAGTGATAAAAGTGTTCCCTGAGAGTAGACTGATAGAATAAGAATGAATAAAAATTAATGAAAGAGCTAGAGATGACAGCAAGAAAGAGAGTAGACTGATAGAATAAGAATGAATAAAAAAAATGAAAGAAGGAGATAGAGATGACAGCAAGAAAGAGAGTAGACAGTGATAGAATAAGAATGAATAAAAATAATGAAAGAAAGAGATAGAGATGACAGCAAGAAAGAGAGTAGACTGATAGAATAAGAATGAATAAAAATTAATGAAAGAGCTAGAGATGACAGCAAGAAAGAGAGTAGACAGTGATAGAATAAGAATGAATAAAACTAATGAAAGAAAGATGTATCCTGTCTTGCCGTCATCTTTATATCTTTCTTTTATTATCTTTATTCATTCTTATGCTATCAGTGTTTACTCTCTTTCTTTCCGTCATCTCTATCTTATTATTATTATCATTTTCCTATCTATATGTACCCTATGTCTTGCCGTCATCTGTATATCTTTTTCTTATTATCTTTATTCATTATTATGCTATGAGTGTAATACTCTCTTTCTTGCCGTCATCTCTATCTCATTATTATTATCATTTTCCTATCTATATGTACCCTATGTCTTGCCGTCATCTCTATATCTTTCTCTTATTATCTTTATTCATTCTTATGCTATCAGTGTTTACTCTCTTTCTTTCCGTCATCTCTATCTTATTATTATTATCATTTTCCTATCTATAATTATGTACCCTATGTCTTGCCGTCATCTCTATATCTTTCTCTTATTATCTTTATTCATTCTTATGCTATCAGTGTTTACTCTCTTTCTTGCCGTCATCTCTATCTTATTATTATTATCATTTTCCTATCTATATGTACCCTATGTCTTGCCGTCATCTGTATATCTTTCTCTTATTATCTTTATTCATTCTTATGCTATCAGTGTTTACTCTCTTTCTTGCCGTCATCTCTATCTTATTATTATTATTATTTTCCTATCAATATGTATCCTATGTCTTGCCGTCATCTCTATATATTTCTCTTATTATCTTTATTCATTCTTGTGCTATCAGTGTTTACTCTCTTTCTTTCCGTCATCTCTATCTTTTTATTATTATCATTTTCCTATCTATATGTACCCTATGTCTTGCCGTCATCTCTATATCTTTCTCTTATTATCTTTATTCATTCTTATGCTATCAGTGTTTACTCTCTTTCTTTCCGTCATCTCTATCTTATTATTATTATCATTTTCCTATCTATATGTACCCTATGTCTTGCCGTCATCTCTATATCTTTCTCTTATTATCTTTATTCATTCTTATGCTATCAGTGTTTACTCTCTTTCTTTCCGTCATCTCTATCTCATTATTATTGTTATTTTCGTATCAATATGTATCCTGTCTTGCCGTCATCTTTATCTCTTTCTCTTATAATCTTTATTCACAGTAAAGTCCTTTCATTTCATATCACTATTTCTCTCTCATAATGTCTCTCACGTCCGTTCTCCATATTTTATTCATTGCATACTCCACTCGTCAATCATTTCTGATAATAAGCTCTCTCACAATAAAGTAAATGGAAAACAATGCAATATAGTTTATATTTTAAGATTGATTCATTCTTTCTTTGTATATCTATGGCTGTGATAAATGTACTTGAAATCAATTTTATTGAGGGGTAAAGAAGGTGAGAGAACAGATGCGGTGAACATTCATAATGAGACATTTCAATAAGATGCTGATTATGTCATGTATATCACATATAATATATTATGCCTATACCATTTTTACATGCTCATACCAGTGGGCAAAATCAATAACATTCTCTTATTTCTTATTGACTTATCATGGCACAACAAAGAAAAACATCCCCACGACGTCCCTTTTCATGCCCCGCTAAACCGGACATTGACAATAACCTGGGGTAATAGGGATTTCAATGGGCAGATTAGCCCATTGTCAAGGGTGGCTGAGCGGGGTACTTTCAAGTCTCTCCCTATTGAACTTCTTTTCTTCAACAACCTAAATACTAACCTTCTGAATTGTTAGAATACTTGAGCAAGGTATGTAAAGAAAGGTAAGAAGTCCACCTTTCTAATAGATTCGATTTGAAGATGTCTTATTATTGCTAAATAAGAAATTCTAGAGGGATAAAAAACTGCCGTAAATAAGAAAAATTAAACATTATATAATTATGATTATTATAAAAATGATAATTCAAAATATAACAAATGACGGTTCATCGAAAAGCACGTTTTCCGGTCTACAACTTTGCTGCACAATATTTTTCATCATGATCATCCAGTGAAGAGTTATAGCCTCTTGATTCAGCAGAGTCAATAAAGATTCCCTCGAAATGTGTGACCCTAAAAGAATGTGGCACAGGGTTTTTTTTTAAGTGGCGCATAAAGAGTTAAGGCCTGAAAGAAATCTCTTCACTGTCAATGATGCACACAACTATGAATAATATGACTATTGAACATACACTGTATATGTCTGGAGTGCCCATGTCCAAGCACTGCACTTGTCTGCACAAATATTGTATGTGTAACTACGAATAATGCACAATTCTGATTCAAAGAAAACAGGCAACCAACACAAACTATTTGTCTCTCTTATAGCTAGAAGCATTAACAAAACTATTAAAAGCCATTGAGAAATTAGGAATTTCATACTTTTATTCACAATCCTAAAAATCTTTTTTTTTAATCTTTCAACAACAACAAGTCCTGAACTTTGTGTAAAGTGAATAACTGGGCAGATATGTGCACCTTGTTTTTACAATGTTAAAATGATACCGCCGCCTTTTCTAGTGGAAATGACATTGCTCTTGCAAAAGTTTTAACAACTTTTTGGGCACACTAGCTAACCCTCTCAAAGTATAAGGAATAAAATGAGAACAAGCATTAGGGGAATGCGATAGAAAATTCTTGTCAGTGTACTGGTAGGTGAAATGTTAGGTGCACAGATATAGGGCTCCTTTCATACACTGTACATGTAATAAGGCATGAATACATACCCTGCCATAGAAGGGTAAAAACCATGTGATCTTTCGCAATGGCCTTGTGATGAAAAACATGATGGCAGAGAACCCCTCCAAGCACCCCTCCAAGCACCCCTCCACTCACTGCTACGCCCCCTTGATGTGCTCCAAATCAAAACTGGCATTCCCTGCAAGGAGAAGAAAGAAAATACATTCAGATCCGGATTAACAAAGACATATCAGCCTGTTCAAGCTATAGGTTTTCGTTTGAAATGATGCTCACACTCACGTTTATGGATACAACATATCGTTTTGTTCAGACGAGGAAAAATATAATGACTTTATTGTGAAGTTACACAACGAATGCTGGTACATGTACTGTACATGTACTTGGGACAGCATCTACAATGAAGGCTTCCTATTCTTGACTTCATTTGAGATGGAGATGAAATTGTCAAGATATACATGAAGTCCATAGCACTCGGGTTAGTCATCTACCCAGGGAGATGGAATCCATTCCAACCTACACAGCCTCTGTGTATAGTGCTCACAATGCAACCTATATGTATCTGATTCTGTACTGTACATATTGACCTGATGGAGAGCTTAGGGGAGCCTTCCAAAGTTGCGACTGTGCCCGGACGCGTCGGGGCGCGATGAATAGAACAGTCGCGTCCCAAGAGACGCATTGAGGCGCAAAGGGGCGCGAAGGGGCGCAATAGTCACCCTCACCTGATTCTTGCATATGAAAAGAAACCGTCTATTGTTAGTATAAACCCGCTCTATTCTTCTTGCGCCCTTTTGCGCCCCACCAGGCAATGGAAGATTATCTCTCCCGTCATTGTTCTCGCTCGTGATGCGCGGTACAGCTTAAACTTGATATACAGAAAGTATTTGTCGGCCAAAGCCTGACTTCCCCTCCTCCGGTTTTCGTTCTGATAAACTTTCCATTGTTTGTACAAAAATGATGTATTCTTCTCGCGTCGCGATCTATTCTTCTCGCGCCGTTTTGCGTCGTAACGGGCGGGGTATTACCTTTCCAATCATTGTGGCGAAGCTTTGCGATGTACATTACTACAGCACAGCATGAACTTCTCTGGTGGGATCGTCTTTTTTTTATTTTGGGGGGGGGGGGGGCAATCAACACACTCGTTCATCTTGATCAGAATACTTTATGATTTATTTTTGTTGGGTTTAATACGCCTCCTTTTAATTTTTGTGACGACTGTATGAAATGTGAAATAAAGATGACTATGTACGATTAATGGTTGTTTAATTGCGAGCTTAATTGTCCCCAACAACAAAAAATAAAAGACGAATGATGTGAATGACCACATGTATGCGGTTATAGTCGGCAAATTGATTACTGTTTGGGTCGCTTGTGTATGTTTGTAATTTGAATGATTATCAACATATTTGTATAATTCCCACATCGCGATATGATTCTAGCGTCGTATAATGGACAAAGGAATTATCTTTCTCTCCCGTCAATACGCGTTGCACATCGCCACAGCCTGAGCTTGGAAGAATTTATATTTTGTCAGTCAAATCCTTTTTTTTTCTCCTCCCATGACTTGGTTCTAATAAATTAAAGGTTTGCTTATTAGGGATAAGAAGGATAACATCAAACAAACGATTTACTCAAGATGACGCTCTTTTCATTTCACCTCGCTGTTTGATAAAGTAGAGTTTTACGGAGCGAATACAAAAGAAAAGTTCGCTCTAAGGCCAAATAAAAAAATGATTTATTAGTGTCCTGTTTTTTCGAAAACTAGGAAGGAGGAGGCCCTCTCTTTTCTTTTTTTTTTTCTTTCAAAATGGCCGCTCAAAATGGCCGCTCGGTACATTTTCCCTGACAGTCGGGCTATTTTTCAAGATGGCCGCCGAAATCTTTTAACTTTTAAAAAAAATCAGTAATAGATCCATTTTAGTATTGTTTTTCATGTGTTTTTTTTTCAATTTTTTTAATTTTTTTTTAAATTAAATAAAAAAAAAAAATTAAAACAAATTTCCCCAAAAATAAAAAAAATAGGAGGCGGCCCCCAAAAAGGAAGCAGGCGGGGACGCTAAACATGTATATTTTGTTAAGTGGCCTCAGGGAAAAAAAAACATAAAATGCCATGGCAGGATTTCACGCCCGAGATTTGCCTTCGAAAATTGCCCGTCCAAAAGGCGTTTTAAATCATAATAATTCCATAGCTCTTTTTAAAAGTGCAATAAATAGAAAAAAGAGTCCGGGAACTATATCGAGATTATAAAACACGTGTGTCATGAAGATGTAAACAAAAAAGCGTAGCCTGGTGGTGATAAAGTTGAGCAGCAATTGGAAATGCAATACAAAACATTAATCAGTTCATGATGATAATTAATCATTCGACACAAATGCAAACATTGATTTCTGCTCTAACATTCGAATCATTTATTCGTAGATTTGTATAATTAAGTGGCGAAAGTGAAATTTTGAAATCTTAATGCACAGATACAAAAAACATACCAAATATGTTTTGATTCTTATTCTAAAAAAAAAAAAACGGCAAATTTTAAAAGATCTTTTTAAAAGGAGGGAGGCGCTATAGCCCAGTGGTAGAGCAGAGCAGCTCGTAACCGGGAGCTCCCTGGTTAGAAACCAAATCGATATGCTATTGTAAGGCATATCTCAACATTACATTACGTTCGGAGAGGATCTTAAACCCGCCGGTCCCCTGTTTGCCTAATTCAGAGCATACACATGCTTCATATAGCAGTCAGGAAAAAAAAGCGAACGGTACAGGAAGCTACCTTTTATGGATAGGCCTAAATTGAAGGTTTGGCTTAACTAGGGAGAAGAAGGATAACATCAAACAATAGATCTACTCATGATGACGCTCTTTTCATTTCACCTCGCTGTAAGATAAAGTAGAGTTCTATGGAGCGAATACAAAAGAAAAGTTCGCTCTAAAGGTAAAAACATAGAATGCCGTGGCAGGATTTCACGCGGCCGAGCAAGACTATTGTTTGATCGCTATAATTGTCCGACTTGCTATAGATTCTTGTTTAGCTACACAGTAAGGTTGCTCGCTAGTTATAAGGACCGCTATTCATTGGACAACTATTCATGAAGACCGCTATTCGTAATTTGAGAACATGGTCATTATGTATAAGGGTCATGAATTCGTAATACGACATCCCCCTCCCCAAAACTAAATAAATAAATAGAAAACATGAATAGATTAATAAACTTAACTAATGGTAATTGGGAATAGCCGCCTATGAGCGCAACAACTATTAGCTGCTCAAAGAGCTGTCTTTTGTCATTGCGTTGCAAAAATAAAGTGCTTTTAAAAGTTACATGTACTATAATATCCGTATGTTATATAACACCCAATGTGAACATGACGTGTTCAGGCCTTATAACTATATACAGTGCACGTTAAAACAAAAGACTTTACTAGCGCTAGCTAACAAATATGCAACGTCAAAACGTTCACGAACATTGAAGATAACAAATTGTTAAAGGTGAAATTCAAAGAAAATCACAAATATGTCAACTAATGTATCACTAGAAACTGGTAAGCTAACAGATGGCCATCGTACAAGTTTGAGGTCAGCTACATATCGGGTGATTTATAAAAATAAAAATACAACCACCTCCATAGCAGCTGGGATATACGAGAGATTCGCCAGAAAAATAACGATGTTTTAATGACGTCACAACAGGGACCAATACTGCCCAAGCAGACGACATCCCATAGGGAATGAACATAATTGCAAAGCTATTATTTGTCAAATTATAATGAGTTTAGTGTATATAAATGTACTGGCACGTCAAACGGATCAAAAGGGGACATGACCCGATTCTGATAACTAAAATCTTTTGCTTGTAAATACACAGGATAGGGGTTAATTAACAATCAAAGAAACCAGACTTTCAAATTGAAAAGCCCCCGGATTGATATTAAGGGCGGCATTTGTTCCCTCTTAAAACGCCGAACATACCGCGGTGTCTGCAGCTGAATATACAATGGCGTCTTATTTTGTTTACAAGCGACAGATTCCTTTATTTTTGTATCGCTGCATTTGTCATCAAAATAAAACCATGCGCGGGGTTTAGAGTGAGGCAATAGATTACACATTTAGCCTGACGGTAGTGAAGTAAGAGAAAGAACTCAAGAGAAGATGAAAACACAGGCACTGAAAATGTGTGAGATGTCATGGGACATCGTCTGCTTGTGCAAAACATGTCCCTGCTGTGATCTCACACATCTCAGCAGCCTTCGGAGAGCTATTCAGGTGCTATGCCGGGGCTGTATTTAAGCGTTTTGTAATTTATAATAATCATTACTTCGAATGTTTCCAAGCATTGAATTTTGATAACCTTGTCGAATCAAAGTTTCAACTTTGCAATAAAGAAAATAAAGCTAGATTTAAAATCAATGAATATCTACTTTAAGACAAATGACACCACCAATAAAGTTTCTTCGCGAAGAAATATTCGATCGAATTTCATGTTTGGAACAGATAGGCGATTTCGAATTGTTCCATCTACCGAAACGTTTTGATGATGCAGGCTCCCGACAATACGACTATCATTTTTGTAATATCTTTAATTTGCAGATGTTTGTTTGTTTTGTATGACATATTTATAAACGCCCTATAATCTTATTTCAAGCAGAATCTTTCAATCTCTTTGATTATAAGTATCATTTTTTAAATCACGGGTATTTAAATACAATAGCTGATTTTGCGAAGATTTAGAGAACCTCCGTTTCTATTCTTTAAATCGATCTTGCATGAGAAAGAACAGAGTGATGATATAGATATATGACCTATTTTGATCGGATGACAGAACAAAATAAATGTAATATGAACCAAATAATGTGTCAAAACATACAGAAGGAATACAATTATACATATCGTTTTTGTTTTGTTCGTGAAGAAATTAATGTAATACAAGTATTGAACACATTAATGAACAGAAATGAACAATCATAACAACGTCAACGCCTACACAACTTCGATGTTTGGGAGGAATATAACAATCAGAACAACAATCTAAATCAATGTCTTGTACGTAAAATAATAATAAAACATATCAGTAGCCAACGTGAAAATTTTAGAGTCAAATCTTTCAAGACGAGAGCGGACACACACGCGAGGATTACATGAATAACTAATGCGTAGGAATGGGCGCGAAAGCTTTTCAAATTCACAAATTCACAATTCACAAAAAGCGCTTCGCCTTTAAGCGCACCCCCCCCCCCCCACACCCCCGAATGAGTGTTATGTAGGGTACGCATATGCATTTTCCCTCCTTTTGAAAACAGTCCCCTAAGTCCGGTGTGTAAAGTCAATACGGGCCGGATTTGTGTGTACTAGACGAGCCGGACTTTTGGTGCGTGAAAAGTACCCCTTTACCAGACAGTAACAATGAGTCTCCAAACAATAGCCAGATTTGATATTCATATTGTGAGCATGTGCTTAGTTATATCGGGATTCCCTTGTTATATTGAAGACGTGGGCTAATATCTGTTTGCCCAGTATTTCTCGCTGATTGTTTGACCAACATTAAATTGCTATTGTCCAGCTGACTTTTCTAAAGGCTTTTCTACCCTCGGCGCTAAAGGGATTGCGGAAAATTTCAACACTATTTGTGTTTCTTGATGACCCAGTAGAAGAAGAATAAGGGCTCCCTGCCCCCCCCCCCCCCCCGAAAAAAAATGTCCCAAAACAACGCAATCATTATTAATTCCGTTTACTACTTGATACCAACACGTGCATGATGGATCCCCCGGATGGATCCTTATTTAGACGGTGAGACAGTTCTGTTACGAGAAGCAATTCAACGAATTGCCATGGCTTGTATTTGTTCTAGAACGCACTACGCTCTTTCGATAACACGTGGCCCCTATTCAGCACAATATATATGTATTTTAGTTATTCTTAACAATGACCTAGATCTAAAACTGGCCGCGGATGTAACCCCCCCCCCCCCCTTCGTCGCAAAGAAATATTCGATAAAATTCTTTGATACGGGCACAGTGTATTTAAATTTGTTCGTAACATTAGTGTTTTGCAAAGAAAGAACATTCTGAAAATGAGCGTCTTCCTTCTAACGAAACATATTGATGATGTTCCCGACAATACGGATATCATTTGCATTAAAAAAACATCGTAATACAGATAAAACGCTTTTTAAATCCAATTCATGGAGAAACTACGACATTCTGGATTAAGTATCATTTTCAACATCACGGATTTAAAAATACGTTCTCTAATTTTAAGAAGATTCAAAGGATCTATGAAATAACAGACTGATGATATAATTATATGATTTATAATGATCATACGACAGAACTGTTTACAAGATGCAACAAAAATTGTTTTAAAAAAAACAAGAAAATCGAAACATGCGATAACATCGCTATAAGGAAATATAAAATTACAATTAAAGTGTCAAAACATGCACGAGGAAAACAATGTCAGAGAGAGTGGGGTAAGTATAAAATAAATTTGTTTTTTTCGTGAACAAATCAATTTGTATTAAAATTGATACAGTATATTGAACACAATCATGAACAGAAAAGGAGGAGATGAAAACAATGAACAATCATGCCAACGTTAACGCCTACAGAACTCCGATTTTGAGAGGAAAATAAACAATCAGAACAAACATTGTAACCAATGTCATGTATGTAAAATAATATTAAAACAAATCAGTAGCCAAAGTAATGCTTTTCAGAGTCAAATCTCGCAAGACGAGAGCGACAAACAAGCGGGCACTACATGAATAACTAATGCGCCGGACCGGGCGCGAAAGGGCGCGAAAGCTATTCAAAGTTTAAGCTCCCATTCACAAATGTCAAGTGCTTCACCGGGGCGCGCCCCGGCGGGGTAATTTCGTAACAATGAGACTCCAAACAATAGCCAGATTTTAATGAGCTGGCAACCAACTGAAGTCCTCTCCTATCCGACGCAAAAAGGCGCTAATGGGCGCATAAAGGCGCCTCCTTTGTTCTCATATCCTGCTCTGCGCCCCGACGCGTCGCGGCACAGTCGCAACTTTGGAAGGCTCCCCTTAACGTAAACTGTAAACCAATCTCCAAGACTGTTATTCAGACATGTACGCGATGACGTACATGTAGGTCTACAAAGTACAAACTTGTTTGTGTATACCCAACATGCGTATACGGTACTGCTAAATGCTTTCAACATGAAGTACGTACAGTACATTGTAGTACTGCAAAATGACAATTTTACAAGGCGAATGCTACACGCAATAATAATAATAATAATAATAATAATAATAATAATAATAATAACAATAATAATGATCATAATGGTAGTTAATAGTGGAGTCTTGTATATATACATAGCACTTGATCTGTCAAACTCCACACTCCTACTCCATTATTAAAACCCCGGCTTTAGCATGGCTGTCATTACACTGTAATTGCTCAAGCATTTTAAGGAATTAATTCCAGCCAGATACCCATGTACCTCAACTTCAAGTCCTCAACAGGCTGGAGTGGGGCGATTGCAAAATTGCAAATTAATGCCTTGCCAAAGGACATGAGTGCTGCGACAAGGAACCTTGTGGTTCACAGTCCGGTGACTTATCCACTAGACCACAACATCTCTACATTTTACACTGTACATTGTACATTGTACATCAGGCCAATATTAACAAAAACATGAACATTTTAAAATCACATCCAAAAACAGACAAATATCTTATCCAGTCTCCCCAGAAAAAAAAGTACACCAGAAAAAAAAAAGTACACAAGGGCAGCAAACATTTTTTCCTGGGGAGATGATAATGCTAATAACAACAACAATAATGAAAAGAATAATAATAAATAAAACAGATAAATATAATTATATTGAACAATGAACATACACACACTGAAGAACTGATATATTACCCAAATAACTTCCAAGTGTAAATACAGCTAATCTACATGTACAGTATACCGGTACCTGTAGACAGGTTAAAATAGGATGTGACACTCTAAGTGTCTGTACATGTACATGTACCATACTGTACGTATCTGTTCCACATAATCTCCTGATATATATGCAGGGAAATTGTGAATTATGTAATCACAGTTTGTTTTATCTATTATATATTAGACCAAGGACAGGACATGAAATCACTAAATCCAATAACATTCCCCATTGTCTCAATTTACCAACTATAAAACATTGTGAAAGAATGCAGGAAGTACTTAATAACAGTACAACAATAACCAGGTCCACGCACATGATTTATACACATGCAAGCACACTTTCTTAATCAATTTCCCCTGCGTTATTTTAAAAAAATCTTTAGACAAACTTAATAAATATGTACAGTACATGCACATTTTTAATTTTGAAGAGAATTTTCACTTAAAATCTGTGTTTACATGTACATGTACAGTATGTGTTCATTTGATAAATTTACCATTTAAGACAAAGACATACATGTAGTATCCAATATCAGTAAGAGATGACACATTATATAATTTACATGAATATATTGTACAATATAAACAAAAATTTACAAAAAATATCATGGAAAGCTGACATTAAATGAACAAAACAAGAGAAAGAATGATACATTTTGTGAATTTGACCCAGAAAATAGCATATAAAACTAGCTACATGTAGTCATGTCCAGCCTTACGTTTCAGACTTCCATACAATAGCACAATTCTACATACTGTACAAAAACCTGTACAAAAACCTGTGTGCATTTGAATTCGCCTTAGGACATCATCAACATTTGACATGAACGCCATAGCCCTCTCAGGCAGGTGCAAGCTATGACATTGGGTCTTATCCCTACAGTTCTCCGATACATACATCATGTACAGTACATGTACCAATCACACACAAATGACACAATTGTCTTGAAGGAGATGCATTCACTTTAACCAGGGACCCAATGATCTGAAACAGACTTGTGCACATCAGTGAGTTCACAGGAGATAATGTCACAGTAATATTCCTACAGATCTTTTCCTCACATTTGTCACACTGATGATTCTGTTTTATATTAAAGAGTGTACGTATCCATGATGAAGATTTTACACATTCATGTATCATTACTTGCTTGCCTATTTTATCACAAATTAAAACACAGGTATGAAGTCCAATCAACTTCTGCTGACAAGTATGAGTATATGACCATTTGCTTTACAAATAAAATTGTAGCTTTATGAGGTATGAAGACCAATGAACTTTTGCTATTGCACTTCCTTGGTTTCTGTATGTTGTAAGTTGAAAATCACACAAGTTAATTTGCTTTCTTCGGTCCTAACATATGCAAGGTTCACAGTATTCAACTTCTAAAAATAACCCTATGAGGCTATGCCCACACAGTGCTCCCTTTCATCATATGATAGATGATAGATGTGTAGCTTATCATTTCCAAGACAACAAGATATCGGGTCTCAACTCTAGAGACATAGCTCAGGATATAGTAGGAGCCTACTAATTCTTGGTAGGCAGAATAATTAAACTCCCAATCTGGACTGACAGTGTTCATATTCACCTGTAAATCAAACGAATGAATAATGCCTTATATATTTTTTTGCTCTGTCAGTTCAAGTCATTTACACTTGTACACATGTACATGTACACTGTACAATGTATGTCACAGAATCAAAGGAGACCTCTGTTCCTTTCGAATCTGGAATAATTCTCGCTACCCCAAATAGCGATTCTGCCGAGATCCGGGGAAAATCCTGAAAACGCGCATTGCATTATGGGATAGCTTTTCGACATTACAGCTTCCTGTGCAGGCGTTCGTGATCACAACCCTCTCTTTCACGGTAGAGTTTAACGGCCTTTTGTGCTAAAGTCACTAATTCTGCCCGAAGCTTTCCATTGCATATTATAATCTGTACAAATTACACTGATTGGCATCGATTTTAGCGTGCGTGAAAACTCTGCACAGCGAACACAGGCGCTAGCGCCAGCGGGATGGGACTCTATACCGGAAGTTGTAGTGACGACCCGAGAGAGTGAAAATTACCTCGTCTCGCGAATTTCGAGATTTTCGTACCTATTTAGGGTAGCGAGAATTCATTACTAATTACCCACAATCTTTTGCCTTTCCTTTCTTCATTGAATTTGACTACCGTATTGTTTGGGTTATCATCTTTTTGCATGAACATGTAAATTATGTAGCCGTCTATGGTGCACCTAGATGCATGTACAATATCCCTGGTAGATTCAACCTTTCGGCCCTTCAACCTTTTCAAATCAATCATGGGGAAAGGAAAGCAAAGTTTGTTCAGATGGGTATGACAAGGTTATCACACATTGTATAGAGTGTTGTACACATGGCTCCCATTATCATCAGGTCCTCTACCTTATTAAACTAAGAGAGAAAGTATGTAGGATTCAATAGTATTGAATCCTACATACCTTCAATACGTCTCCATGTGTAAGGCACACTTTTTTTTTTAATTTTAAATTTTTGATTTATGGCGCTATGCCTGGCAATGTCTCCCAGCTCAGTAATCAGTGTGTTGACTCACCACTCGGAAACTACAACAACAATCAAATTTGTCTGTCATCTTGGTTTGAAAGTAATCTTTCTAATAGATCTCAATATGTAGTTTATAATAATAATTCCTCACATTTGTTTTCTATAACAAATGGTGTATCACAAGGTTCTATCCTAGGTACTCTATCGTTTTTAATTTACATTAATGATCTTACACATTTTTCTAAAAAGGACATTGTTAGTATTATTTGTGACAAGTTCACAAGCACAAATCAGCGCCTTCAACTGCACCTCGATGTTAAATGAAGGTCCATCGGCGTGGGTTTTCGGCAATAAAACAACAACAAAACAAAAAACTCCCCCCCCCCCAATAGGGGTGCGCCTTATACACGTAGATTTACATGCCTCTTCCCTTGTTCATAGACGCTAATACAGCTAATAGATAGGATAGGACGTTAAATGGAGGCCCCGTGTAGAGAAGAGTCACTACCTTTGCACGTTAAGAACCCACTGCACTATTCGTATAAGAGTAGGGGGAAACCCCGGTGTAGTGGTCCACCTGCACACACACACAGTATAGTACGAAAATACTTTGTAAAGAGGTCTGTAAGTTTAAAAGGAAGAAGAAGAAGAAGAAGAAGAAATTCCAGCCTGCTTTGAAATTCATTTAGATTAGTTCATTGGTCAATGGACTGTACTTGGCCAAAATAGCACAAGTACAATGTACACAGTACAGTATGTATTTTACTTACAAATCAAACTTGTAGACTGTACATACGTGTAATTATACTTTAATACTAGACTATTATTTAAGATTACTTTTATGTATATTTTGTAGACAAATTAAACTTGAAAAACTGAAATAATAAGTTTGCAATGAGACTTAATATAACATCTGCCCATTCTGTTATGGCTGAGTCTCCCTCTCTGGTCTATAGTACAAACATTGCTCTGTTGGGGCGTTCATGGTATGGTGAGTTTGTCTAGTGAATGATGTCATTTTATAATAAACACTTAACACTAGCAATCCCAGACCTGACCAAAGGAAAGGGGAATGGAAAAAGATTGAGCAAATATTAGACAGAAGTTACAACCCACTTGGTATACAAGAGGAACAAAAAACAGGATTTGGACTTCTTCGACTGTCAGTGGGTGTGTTCATAAACTAATAGCCCCCCAAAACACGAAGTAAGGAAGGTCAAAAAGTTTGCTTAACAAAGTAGAAACTTGTATCATTATGAAGAGTTTATAGTGTATGCGACTACAGTAGGTTATTATGTAAAGCAGCAAATGGGTAAAAAGCTGCAAGGGTAAAAAATTGGTATTTAGAAGAAAAAAACAGACATGTTTGGCAAGACAAATTCCAGCTAGCTTTCAAAGTTATTCAAAATTCTGAACACTAATGATGGCAAATTTTGTCTTGAAAAATATAGTTTCAATAATTGAAAGTAAAGAGGGATTCTTTTGTTTCTGGAATTAAAGTTCTTGTCTATAAAAAGACCCTCTAAATCCACATTTGACTGAAACAGAACAAGAATGATTTTAAGTTTTCTCTTTTGTTGTTTTTATCTATTTTTTGAGGTCTTATTTGATTTTTCTAAGCTAGGTTATACAAATAAATATACCAGTATTTTATCCCCTCCTGCTAAATTTGAATATAAAAATACATACTATATTGTAGAGACACATTAAGGCAGTTTTTTAATACCAGAATACTACACATCCAAGTGTACCCCCTTTAAGGCTGGGTTTGTGTGCGTGTGTGCACTTTGACATAAAGGTCACCATGTCAAAGACATAACTAGGGGAACACTGTATGCAGTAACCATGGTAACACAGATCATGAGAAGCTCAAGCAAGTGTGGGTTTGAAAATATACAGTGCTGTACATATAAGTCAGGATGGAAGATACTGTAGTAAGATACTGTGTAACTCCACCATAGTAGAAACGTGTTAACATGTACATGTATATCAGAATGAAACCAAGAATTAAAACCTGAAATCATACATCTTGAGAGTATAGGTACATAAACATGTAATTTGAAAAGTTGAAAAGGAAAAAAACAATGTGCGCACAGAGGGCAGTAAGGTTAGCAATGAAAGAAAAAATTGAACAACTTGTTTTTAAATCAGGTCTAACACACAATTTTAGGCCTACTGTATGGGGGGTATTTCTTTTGTTTGCCTTTTTTTGCTAAATTGGAAAAGTATTCACTGTCCTACAGGATTACTGGTGTAATACATCAAGAAGGGACTTTTCTTATATTCTGTTTGTTGGTTTCTTTGTATGCTTTTTGTTTGTTTGCTTTTAAATGCAATTTGTTTTGTTTTGTTTTTGTGTCATTGTGTTTTCTGTTAAATTTGCTTATTTTTAAATACCTGTATAATGATTTCATGACTTCTATCATTCCATAATGCACAAAAATATTAATATTTTTTTTGAATTCTTTGGAACCTACCAATTTTTCCAATTCTAAGGGGACATTTAAAAAAAAAGGAATCATTTTGGTAAACTCTATCTCGACGCTCTTCTACATGATCTCTTGTACATGG